TCCAGGTTGCAAGCTCAATCCCCAGGAGGGGGTATGCAGGGGGCAGCAGATTGATGCTTCTCTCTCATCAGTGTTTCCCTGTCTCTCTCCCTCTCCCTTCCTCTCTCTCTAAAATCAATAAAAACATATTTTAAAAAAATATTTAGATTTCCTGGGCTCTTATCTATTATATAGATATGTATCATAAACAGGTACAGAGAAGGTCCTCAACAAATATTTACTAATGATACTCAGCCCAAACTTTAAACAAACTCACATAGCAAAGTCTAAAATACATACCACAGGTAAAATAGGAGGAAAACTCAGCCTACTGGCCTAAAGAGTGCAACCACCAGAAATTCCTCTTTTCAAAACTGAGCAGTTACAGAATGTACTTCTTATAAGGAAGAGAATCATTTACGACAACAGCTATCTATGACAAAGGAAATTGGTGTTTTCCCCCTTCACTGCTGCCTAGCTCAGACAAGGCACAATCAACTTCCTGATGCCACAGCTAAGCAAAAGGAACCCAGCAGCAATCAGCTTGTGAGGGCAGGGACGACAATGTGATGTAAACCCAGCAGCAAGGAGCTACCTGAGGTAGAAGACAATAATGTTGGGGCGGAAATGAGAAGTACTTGACTCTAAAATCTAAATTCTAAAATCATGACTATTCCTACTTTCCACAGTGACAGTAAACCAAAGTACAGTTGACCCTTGAATGACTCAGGGATTAGGGGCATTGGACCCCACTCCCATAATCAAAAATCCACATTTAATTTTTTACTCCCCCAAACTTAACTACTAATAGCCTACCATTGAGTGGAAGCCTTACCAATAACAGTCAAGTAATAAATATTTTGTATGCTATATATATTACATATTATATTCTTACAATAAAGTATGCTAGAGAGCCCGGCCAGTGCTCAGTGCTTGAGTGTTGACCTATGAACCAGGAGGTCATGATTTGATTCCCAGTCTGGGCACATGCCCAATTGTGGGCTCAGTCCCTAGTGGGGGGCATGCAGGAGGCAGCTGATCAATGATTCTCTCTCGTCATTGATGGTTCTCTCTCTCTCTCTCTCTCTCTCTCTCTTCCTCTCTGAAATCAATAAAAATATTTTTAAATGTATGCTAAAGAAAATAAGAGAGAGAGAGGAAGAGAGAGGGGGAGAAAGAGAGGGAAAGAGAGAAACATTGATGTAAGAGAGAAATATCAATATCAACCAGTTGCATCCCATATGCACCCTGACCCACAACCAGGGTATGTGCCTTAACCAGGAATTGAACCCAAAACCTTTTGGTGTATGAGACGACGCTCTAACTAACTGAGCCACCTAGCTAGGACTAAAAAGAATGATTTAGACTCACATAAGCTTATAGGAACATATATCATTAAGTTTTTGTGGGGTTTTTTAAAATATTTTTTATTGATTTCAGGGAGGGAGAGAGAATAATTGATTGGCTGCCTCCTGCACAACCCACACTGGGGATTGAGCCCACATCCCGGGCATGTGCCCTGACCAGAAATCGGACAGTGACTTCCTGGTTCGTAGGTGGACGCTCAATCACTGAGCCAAGCGGCCAGGCTATTTTTTGTTTTTGATTTTTTTAACAAGTCAAGTGTGATCACTTCTGGTTCAAATTAGAGGAGGGAAAGCCATGGCTCAATTATAAACCATGTGGCAATTACAAAGAAATATGGAAAGACTCAATTCTCAAAATGCTTATAATTTGTTTGTAGAAACTAGTCATGAACATCAAGACAACAAAAGTTAAAGAAAATTCTTGATTTAGTTTACTGGAGTTGCTAAAGTGGTACTGGCACCCATGGAAGCAAAACAACATCAGTATTCTGAGGAAAACTGTGCTAAATATTTGCAGAAAGATTAAGTAAGTTCTATAAAAGGTTGGTTTCTTAAAATTCTTCAAGTCTAGCCTCCCACTCAACATAGATATCCCTTTTAGAACACTTTTACCACTCATTCAATTTCTGTTTAAAGAATCCTATGTCAAAAGATCCTCATAAGTAGTCCATTCCATTTGTTAAGAACAACCCTAATTGTTAAAGTTCTTCCTTACATTAAATTAATATCTAATTTCCTACAGTTTTCAATCATTAGTTGACTTGTCCCAGTTCTGTCCTCTGGATCAACAGGTTTTTTTAAATGATTTTCACCTACTATAATGAGCCTTTCCCTCTTGGATCTTTTCAAAACTAAACCTCTCAATTCCTAAAATGGCTTCTACACCCTTCATTATTCTAATTATTCTCCTCTGAAGAAATTCTAGTTTTTCAATGTGCCTCTTAGAATCAATACCCCACTGAACACAAAAATTCCAGATCTTATCTGACCAGTGCTATTATCCCCTTTGTCTGGGTCACCATGAGTATAACAATTCAAGACTAGGTGCCAGGCTGTTTACAATCCATTGTCAAATTAGTGACACTGTTCAGATCATAAGTGATTTGTTTTAAGAGTTTAACGAGTGTAAAAAAGAAAGATGACTGAGGAGTTGAGGAAATTTTCAACAAACATTGTAGACTGTAAGCTGGGAAAGGAAGCATACATTTATGATAAGCAGAAAATAGAGAAAGAAAACAATTTCGGGGGTACAAATTCAGAACAGGGCAGAGACAGGAATGAACCAAGTTAGTACTAGAGCAAAGTAGCTATATAAGGATAGGCAATAACATAGCGCCAAAAAGGAGAGATGCAGTCACACTACTTGTATTGTGAGCCCTTAACCTACATAACTAAAGGGTTAGTTCAAGAAATTGAGCCCTAGCTGGTTTGGCTCAGTAGGTAGAGCGTCAGCCTGCAGACAAAGGGTCCCAGGTTCAACTGCAGTCAAGGGCACATACCTTAGTTGCAGGCTCCTCCCAGGCCAGGGCTGTATGCAGGAGTCAACCAATCAATATGTCTCTCACATTGATGTTTCTCTCTCTCTGTCTCTCCCCTTCCTTTCCACTATCTCTAAAAATCAGTGGGAAAATATCCTCTGGTGAGGATTAACAAAAAAAGGAAAAGAAAATGAACTGTTAGTTGAGATGGTCAGGGTGATTAAAATCAGTATCAGTTTGCCAATTTCTACATCAAATCAATGACTGTTTGAAATTTTACTTCAATGAAAAAGTTTCTAATTCAATTCTACTCTAAGATGAACAGAAATTGAGTTGTTCTACAATATCACTACACAGGCTTCTTTCAGAACATGAACAACATTCTTAACTGCCAAAATGTCATTTTAGAAAGATTTATTTTCATCCATTTCTGTCGGTTTCCCCAGAATGAATAATTTGCCACTTAACATGAATACTTCTAATCAAAGCAGCTGCTTCTTTCAGTAATTAATCATCTTCAGGATCTCCATTCAAAAGACAATGACCTGCTAAGTCTCCCTCCAATACACCAGGGTCAAAAAGATAGGAATTTGACTAATGAACATTAAAAGGTTAAGATGTTAACCAGCAGAATTTCTAGGCATGAATGCTGCCCAATATTACAACAAATAAAAACAACAGCTGCTCTGTCTCTGAGGTGATTTAAATTCAATTAAATAGGATTTTTGGTTTACTATTGCTCCTGCCTAAAGACTCTTTCATAAAGACGAGCTCTGTAATATGATGTGGCAGCAGAGCTAAACTGTTCAAGAGACACTGCAAAACCCAACCTCTCCCAAATCCTGCTACTCAACAGCAGGGATCTAAAAGAATAGATTCCCAGCTGCTGAGAGAAATGTCTTACTAAAAGCAAAGCAAAATTCTCATTAATGAAAAATCAACAGTGAAAGGAGAAAATTCTGTGTGCCTCATAATCCCCGGAAATAGCCAAATCCATTTTGGGTTAATGCAGGTTTAACAAAACAGTGCAAGTGAAAAGAGAGGAGCAGTTCCGTTTGCCAGCAGCTGAGAGAAAACAGTTATCAGAGAGATCACAAACAATGCTTCTAACCCACAGAGCCCAAAGAAACGTGAACTCTAACTCTCCAATAAAAGATTCAGCCAGGAAAAGGCTCTCACGGATAAATCCACTCTCGCACTCACAAGCCACCTTATCCTATCTCGTTCAGCACAGGTATAACAGGCTGTAACTTCAATTTCCCACGATCAAATTCAACAGGTAATCCAAACCCTGCTTTTTCTGATCAGATCATCTCTAAAACCGCAGTCTTTGCGTCCATTCAAAAACCATCTTAGAGCTTCTATGTCAGGCACGGAGAACACAAACACCTGTGAGAAAATTAGTCTCTACCCTCTTGGAGCTTAGTCCATGCACCCTGCTTCACATGAACCCCAAAACTCTTGCCTTAAAATACCTTCTTAGATGGAGCCAGCGTCCTCAGTGAAGAAGCAAGAAAGGCCCTTCATCTTTAGTTACTGTGACAGAAGCAAAGTAAATCAATCAACTAATCAATCACTTCCTATGCTCTGCTCGGGAAGGAGAATCCAACACACCTTTGCAAGTGGAACATGAGACTAACCCTTATCCTAGATTACAGGGAAGGAGCAGGGGACACGACAAGCAAAGGAGGAGTGCAAGCCCAGAAATACGACGGGAGAAGGGATGTGACAGCTGTCCCATAACCTATTCAAAGATTAAAAAAAAAGAAAAGAACCTGCTACGAAGCCGACTGTAGTTTAACAGTGCAGGGAGGAGGAAGGGAAGAAGAATGGGAGGCTGCCCACTATGGACAGACACCAGCCATCCCGGTCCCCTTCCGTCCTCGGTCCACTCTCATTGGGGAGCGTGCCGGTCGCTGTTTGCTTAATAGGATCTGGGCCTGTCACATGGCCACTGGCAGGGAGAGGTAGCAGTCCCTTCGCAGGAGCGTGAGGACAGACAGGAGTGGGCAGCACTCTCCCAATGCTTGTCAATAAGTTCACATAATTGTCCCCCGAGGCGCAGACGGGAAGTGAAGTTTGGAAAGGATGGTAACCCGACGTCCACTGGAGGCGTGTGGGGACCGCTCAGCTCCCCCGCCCTACCCGACCCCAGCCCCTCGGTGCGTGCACTCACCGCGCACGCAGAGCAGAGACATGGCCGAGGTGCGGGCGAGCCGCCGCCGCGCCGCCGCACCCTCTTTCCTTTCAGCAGGTGCCGCGGCTGCTCCCGCAATCCGCCCCGCGGGTCTGGCCGCTCCTCATGGTCCCCGTGGCCGGCAGCGCTCTGCCGCTCCCTCGGACCCGCTCCCAGTCTCACCGCCTGAGGGGGTTCTCGATAATCGCGAGTACCGGCCGGCCGGCGGGGTACTGGGCGCGGCACCACGGCGCCATCGCTGGGAGAAAGGAGCGACCGGGACTCCCTCCCTCCACTCCACCCCACCGGGATCCGAGCGAGCGCCGGACAGAGCCACCCGCGGCGCCCCGCCTCCCGGCCAATCAACTCACGCCCAGTCCCCCAACCCCGCCCCCACACGAGACGTAGGGGGCGGAGCCTCCCTCTGCCTTCCGAGCGTGCGAGACTGACGGCCACTGATGAGGCTTCTGGCAGGGCGGGGGGCGGGCTTCTCACCTGTGTGAGGTTAGGAATGGAAGCCCTCGGCTCTTCCCTCGTGGGCGGGCTTCCAGCCGAGAACGGATTCTTTTCATTGAAGATTTCCACTGGACTTACTTAAAGGGTCTATCAGCTGATGAAGTACTTACCTACCTGTAATCATTTGACGAGATTGTACCACACAGCACGGAAGTTTTTAAATTAGCAACGACGGCGGCCAGGGGAAGGGGAGAACATGAGTGAGCATGAAGTTAAATATCTGGAGCCCTCCGTATCTACCTCTTTTTTTCATGCTCTCCATTTGTGTCTCCAATGTCTGAATAGTGCCAAGTATATAGTAACTAGTCCATAAATACCTACTGATTGGAGGATGGAGGGAAGATAGGCTTTTTAAGCTGAGCACTTCTGGCAAGAAGATGGATGTATGCACATGCGATGGAAGTGAAAAAGGCCAGAGCAGAAAGCAGAAGACACATGGTATGATGTACAACACCCCGCCACCGCAAAATTCTAATTTAATTGGTTTGGGGCATCCTATCTTTTTAAAAGCTCCGAAAATGATATACATAGCCCACAGACAACAGAGTGGTGAAGGCCAGGGGAGGGGTGGTTGGAGGTGGGGAGGGGTAGGAAAAGCGAGGAAAATGGGAGACATCTGTAATAGTGTCAACAATAAAAAAATAAGCAAAAATTTGATAGTAAGTTATCCATGGTCACACACACAAAAAGCTCCCCAGATGATTCTAATGTGATGCCAGGTTTTACCACCAGTAGACTAGGTGCTTTCTAAGGCCTCATTAGCCCAGCTCAAGTTTCAGTGTTTGAAAGCTCTCAGCCTCACAGGATTCTTCCTGCCAGACCTAGGCAGGGTCTGCCAATCTCCCAGGGTATTTGCCTTCCAAAAGGAAACCTAGCTACCATATGATTCCTCTTACTGGAATAAATGCTATAAGAGACTAACACTAGAAGCCTGAAGAAGGAAAGGAGAAGGCTTGATCTTTCCACTGTGTGTCCAGATTTGGAGCAATACACAGAAACATTTTAAGCAAGGCAACTCAGGCAGCCTCATCAACAGAAACGCCTGACCCTAAGACGATGGGCATTCTCTGTGCTGCTGGAGGTTGGAATATCTAGGTATTTAGCCCAGCTTTCGTAAACCACAAGAGCATGAAACTAAAAAAAGTGTTAAACTTCTGGACTCTGGAACCAGGGATTCTCCTGGGGATGCAGAATCCATCCAACAAAAAATGGAAAGTCACTCTACACTTGGAAACAGTGTAGAATATTGGGAAATCCTATATAATAAAAGCCTAATATGCTAAGTGTTCGGTCGACTGGTCAACCATTCAACTAATCAAAGCATAATATGCTAATGATATGCTAAGGCTGCTCAACTGCTTGCTATGACGTGCACTGACCACCAGGGGGCATATGCTCTGATTGGTAGGTTAGCTTGCTGCTGGGGTCCAGGCAATCGGGACTGAGTGAGATGGGCCGGACATGCCCTGGAGCCCTCCTGCTGCCCCTCCCCGGCAGGCCAGCCTCCCGCGTCCCTCCCCAGCCCCGATTGTGCACCGGTGGGGTCACTAGGCCTGGCTTGCACCCTCTCGCAATCCAGGACCCCTCAGGGGATGTCGGAGAGCTGGTTTCGACCCGATCCCGCATGCCAGGCCAAGGGACCCCACTGGTGCACAAATTCGTGCACCGGGCCTCTAGTAAAATTGTAAAGAGCATGAACTTTGGAACCAATCAGATTCACCTGATCTATTATCATGAAACAAATTGCCCCAAATTTTAGTGGCTTAAAACATTTATTATCGCAGTTTCTGTGAGTCAGCAATCTTGGTACAGCTTAACTGGATCCTCTGGTTCAAGGTTTCCTACAGACTGCAATCAAAGTACCAGCCTGACTACAAAAGGATCCACTGTCAAGCTCACTCATGTTATTGTTGGCAAGACTCAGTTCCTCCTGGGCTGTTGGACTGAGAGCTTCAATTTCTTATCAGCTATTGGCTGGTCTCAGTTCCTTGTCATGTGGGCCTTTCCACAATAGCAGTTTGCTTCACTGAAGTACGCAAGCTAAGAAGGCAATAGTGTCTGCTAGTGAGATGGAAGTCTTCATCTATTGTAACCTAATCACAGAAGTGACATCCCCTCATTTTTGCTGTATTCTATTATCAGAAGCAAGTCACACTCAAGGGAAGGGGATTACATAAGAACATGAATACCACCAGGACTCAGGTTCTTGGGGGGGCCATCTTAGGAATCTGCCTACCACACCTGAATTTGAGTTCTAGCTCTGATACTTGCGACCATCAGCAATTTTCCAGGAAATAATAATAATATCTACTTCATAAGATGGTTTTGAGATTTAAATGAGGAAATGCATTTAAATTACCTGGTACATACTAAATGCCCAATACATGTTTGATATTACTTAGGTTGTGGACACAGGGAAGGGAATGTGGCTGGGAGGTGAAGACTGGCTAAGCAGAGCAGGAGTCAATGTCTAAAGGTGTGCTGTAGGCTCTGAGGCATCCCAGTTTACCAGTTAAAATTTTTTAAAATATATTTTTATTGATTTCAGAGAGGGAGATGAAGAGAAACATCAATGATGAGGGAGAATCATTGATCTGCTGCCTCCTGCACACCCCCTATTAGGAATTGAGCCTGCATCCCAGGCATGTGCCCTTGACCACAATTGAACCAGGGACCCTTCAGTCGGAGGCCGAGGCTCTATCCGCTGAACAAAACTGGCTAGGGCTACCCGTTACAATTTAAGAGGAAGGGCCCTGGTCAGTGTGGCTTAGTTGGTTGAGTGTTGTCCAGTGAATCCTTCCTCTCTCTAAAATTAATGAAAACATTTTAAAAATAAGAAAGTCTGAAGAACTATCACAGCCCAGAGGAACTTGAGACATGACAACTAAATGTAATGTGCTATCCTAGATGGGATCCTGGAACAGAAAAAGGACATGAGGTAAAAACTAAGGAAATCTGAATAAAGTATAGGCTTTCATTAATGTATCAATATTGATTCATTAATTGTAACAAATGAACCATACTAAGGTAAGATGATAATAAAAGGGAAATTGGGTATGAGGTATATGGAAACTGTGCTATCTTCACAAAATTTCTATAAATCTAAAATTGTTCTGCCCTAGCTGGTTTGGCTCAGCGGATAGAGCATTGGCCTGCAGACTGAAGGGTCCCAGGTTCGATTTCGGTCAAGGGTACATGCCCTGGTTGCTGGCTTCATCCCCAATGTGGGGTGTGCAGGAGGCAGCCGATCAATGATTCTCTCATCATTGATGTTTCTATCTCTCTCTCCCTCTCCTTTCCTCTCTGAAATCAATAAAAATATATTTAAATATAAATAAAAGTCAATTAATTTACCCAAATCCATACAGCTAGTAAGTACCCAAAGTTCAAGACCAACCCAAATGACTTCAATGTGCATTTTCCACTACACAATACCCTTCAAACTTTATTCTCTTTAGGACTATATAGGTATTTGTATGACTATCTAAAATAAGTCCCTTAAAGGCAGAGAAAAAAAAATTTCCCCCTAGTACACCATTAGTGTTCAGTAAACCAGTTTAAGTTAACTACTCACAAAAAAGTCATGGAGACGTAAAGAAACAAATTTGAACAGGTCTGACCTACCATACAGTCAACTGTACAGCCCGCTCCGTCGTGAGGCCCCTTAGGCTCTGGACCGAGGGCCACTCAGTTCAGCAAGGGTCCTGTGCTGCCATCTACCGGTAGCTGGTAAGCATCGACTTCCCTTGCTGTATTTCGGGAACCAGTGGGGAGTGGGGAAGTTGGAGAGAATACTCAAAAGCTAATTAAATCACAGAACCTATCTTAAGTGTTACAAAGTTCACTCAACACTTGTTCAAGGCAAAGGCCCTACTTTTCTTCAAAGATTTCAGGCTCTCCTATCTCCGTATTAAATCTTAGGCTTCTAAAATTCAGCCTTCCTCTCTAACCCACCTCCGCGGGTACAGATCTGACTGTCATCGCCCGTCTCCCAGAACTCAGACTCTCCCGCACATGGTAGGCTGCAGAAACCCTTAACCTCACAACCCTGAGACCCCCATCGTCCAGATTTCCCCATTTTCACACACACACACACACACCCCCTCCCCCGAGACTACCTTGCAAACACCACAGACCTCCCCCATTAGGGCAATTGCGCGTGCTAACCCACACCTTCCCACAAAGAGGTTCAAGTTCCGCATGCAGCTGACACCGACGCGAAAACCTGGGGAGCGCCCGGGTCAGGCTCGGAGCTCTCCGGCTCGGGCTCTGGCTCCGGGTCCCGCCCCCAAACCCGCCGGGATCCGGTCAGCCTAGGCCCACAGCCTGCGGGCTGAGACCCCGCCCTTCCAGACCTGTCATCACAGAAGCCGCACGTGGCCGGGGTGGGACCTCAGGCGACCTGAAGCAATCACTTTGTCTCCCCTGCCCTCCGTTGGGGGCGCTGCCGCCAATCAGAGCCGGCGGATCCGGCCTGGAGCTCCCGTGCCCGGGTGCGGCGAGCGCGAGAAGGGATGGGGGGAGGAGAGGCTCTGAGACGGGAGGGGGCTGGTGTTGGAAGGGGGCCTGGCACCGGTTCTGCCAGGCTGGAATTCTAGGGGGCGAGTCCTAGCGAGAGGCGGAGACACCGAAAGGGGGCAGGGATCGGGGTGGGGCCAGGGACCGGCTGAGGATCCTGGGGAGACGACCAGAAGACGAGAAGAGGCGGAGCCCGCGGGGGGGCGTGGTCTAGGCTATAGGGGAGGACCCCGAGGAATTCAAGAAACTAGGAAAGGGGAC